AATGATGTTTATCTAAGCCTGCAAAGCAATTAATAACTTCTTTTGATCAATACGAAAGGGGCAATTAAGAAAATAGTGATCATTTTTATCTAGACAGCTCCAGTCGTCCCATATACCTAAACGAGTATGTACTTCTTTGCATATCGGACATTTAGTTTCTGGATCTGTATATTTAAAAACATCTTGGTACCATGCATTCGATTTAGTATATGACAAGAAAGGGAAGCATTTATGTATTGTTTCACAGATTATACCTTTCTCTTCCAGAAACTTGGAAATCTTAATAATGCAATCTTGTGAGATATAATTACTCTCTTTAATTTGTGAGGTTTCAGAGTTTATCCAAGGATCGAATTCAGTTTTATTCTTATACCTTTTATATAACCTAGAACAAATTTTATTCGTCAAAATACCTAGCAATTCTATTAATTTAGCTTCTCATTCCAAATATTCAGGAGTCAATATTTTATTAGCTTTTGCCTGTGTATTCATGTTCTCATTTTATGTATATGACTGCACATCTTTCTAAATTAACAATAACTAACAAAAAAACAAATATGGCTCAGAAGACTTAAGCGAATTGTGCTAGTATAAGTTTAAAGTTCATGCTGTTACCTCAATTTCAATTCCATGCTGTTCACATTTAATATAGTAGGATCCAACTTCATATCTGCCTTCTATTCCATCTTCGTTATGATTTAACTTATATAATGGACATAATGATTTATCAGTAATTCCATAATAATCTTCGTTTTCACTACTACTATCTCGATATAAATTAGGATATTGTTTTAATGTTTTATTATAGAAATAGGTACGATCATGAGTTGGATTAATCTGTTTTCTAGGTAGGGTCTTTGTCTCGGGTGGCGACATGAATGACATACTCGCCTCAGTTTTCAAGTTTGAAGAGGCATCAGATGCTTGAGGTTTAACTAGCATACTAATCTTGGTTTCTGATAAAATCTTTGTTTTTGAGTCAGAAATTTGAGATTCAGTTGCTAGTAGATTACATGCGTGTTCGCAATTGTTCACGCCAATCAATTTTTGAGACTTGGCAAGTTCATCTGCATAAACTTTTATTATATTTTGAACTTGTGTATCTGTTAGCCTAGAAATAGCATCAGCACTATATGTGATTAACCCAATTTTGTCTATACCTATTCCTTTAAACAAAGTATAAATGTTTTTAGCTTTTTGGGTCATCTTGCGTAAATACTCTCTCTTAATACCAGGTAGATATGGCACTATCTCATCGTAAATTTGTGTTCTTGCCATTTGATCACTAATATTGTTTTCCAAACTAATGGTTTTGACTTTTTTTTTGTACTCCTCACTATAGTAATACTATTGTAATTTTTCCTTCCTACTAGTTTTTTCAGCCTTATTGAATAAATGTGCTAGGTAAGGTGTGGTACTTATAGTTAAATCACTCACATATGTTATATTTTTCTTAAATAAATCAAAAATTTGTTTTCCAGATATAGAATACGAATTTTGTGGGATTGTGGTGTCGTTGCTCCTAATGAATTCAAGTAATTCACTTATTAAACCTTGTTTTACTTTCTGATTATAGGGAATTTTTATTTCAGAAGAAATATTAGGGATAGTATCCTGGGAAGTTATGAATTTCTCTTGATCTCGAAGTTTTTTCTCCTTAATATTTTG